CGATGGCCTTCATCCTATGATCAACTTGTTTCTGAAGGACCATCAAAGATTGGCCGATTACGCTTGGGGAGTTGGTGCACTCGCCTATCTCTACAGACAACTGGGGTGGCCACATGAGCGGGTAGTAAGGGTGTTTTTGATGTTTGACCCTGCTTCAGGCTCGGATATATAAGTACTTTCCTTTATTTCATCTGAGCCAGCTGTCGCAGTCTCCATATGCACCTCGTGCTTCCTCGTGGATTTCTCCCCGTCTGCCAGGTGGGGATAATGCTAGACAGCGGTTAGTATGTTATTGACAGTTGTTGGATGAGCTTTTCAGCAGAGGATGTGACCTGGACTCCATATGGACCGGATGGCTACACGGAGATACCACGCTCCTTATTCACTAGGATCCTTCGCTTTCTAACATTGTCAAGGGATACGATCATGCACGTTGTTTGTGCCAGTTTGGATACCGATAGATTATCCCCCGTACTATGATGGTACAACATGATCAGTATCGTCCAGCTTCCTGCAGCAGTTACATTGTCTTCTGGGATTCGTTCGTGAATCAGTTGTGGGATAACTTGGCAGCCCATCGTCTGGATTTGGATTTTGATTCTGACCCGTGCGAGCACCCATCGGATATCGAGGAGGATTACATTGACTGGTATTAGACTAGATCGCACCCATGGATCACCCACCTCAACTCTGATGGGGTGCCTCAGCAGCGGGCACTTCTAGTTCATTAGGTTAGTTATGACTTTCTTTTGCTTTTTCAAATATAAAGGACATTTGTTATTTCATCCTAACATTTTCTATTTACAGTTGAGAGAGCATATTGTGGATCGTTTGGGTCCCGTGTTGCAGATGAGGGACTGGAGTAAGTTTGACGAGGACGGTGGTAAGTGCTACGATATGATAGTTGTGGTTTACGGGTTGTATGACCAGTTCGTAGGACCTCCGCCTCAGTAGACGTTTACCACTTTCGTTTTTGTGATTTCTTTGTCATCGTTTGTAGTTGAAGTGAGACAATTGTGTTTTTATTTATCATCATTTGTAGTTGAATCTGAGACGATTGTGTTTTTATTTGTCATCAATTGTAGTTTAACTGAGACAATTGTGTTTTTATTTGTCATCGTTTGTAGTTGAACCGAGATAATTGTGTTTTGTTTCAGAAGATGGTCTCCATGTTTTCGTTACATTCAATACATTGTTAAAATAGTTTATCAACGTGGTAGCTTACTAAATGTTTCAATAATAGTAAGAGTTATACAATTTGTAAATATACTTCTAATCGTCATTCCCATGGGTTCAAACTATCATAAAGTGCACACTCATGTAAGAAAAATTGATCCGACCCATTGACACTAGGATCATGAAAAATAGGCTAACGTTCATTAAACGGAGGCATGAGCACTTTACCATGTCGAAAGTCAAGTCGCACCCAATGATTCCTTGTAAAATGTAGTGATAAGATCCCACGTGGTCTTGTTACTCCTGGTGGGGCCGTCACAGGTAGCACGGTATAATGACCATCTTGATTGGATACAACGATAGCCCATGAATGCTAGGTGGCGTAGACGAAGAGTTCCGCATTATCCATCCAATTGGGACGCCCACGACCACTTGTTGATGCCCACCTGCAACGTCGAAGGCCTTTTTCTATTCCATTTGATATTCCATCATAGTAGTCTCTATACAGCTCAGGACGGGCTTCAAGATCCTCTACAACAATGTGTCTCATCTGTGGCCAATTCCCTTAGTCTCCGGTATCTGCTTGTGATAAAGCTTGAAATCCACAGTGTCCAATTGGAATAGGATTGTGCCAACCACGAGCTAGTCGTTGCACGTAGGATTCCAAACAATGTATCCATGGGTAATTCTTCCAACTAGTATTGGGAATCCGAGCAACCCTCCATGGACCAACTTCTTTTGTCGAGAATCCTTTAGAAGCTTCCCGATTTGAAGGTGTTGAGCCTTAATGTAATTATCGTTCGTCTTGAATACCTACAGACAATGAATAACAATTAGGAGACTACTAAAACTTCTTAAAGAGGCATCAACGAAGATTTATTAGGAGACGTACCGTATCGACTGCACCAGTAGATGATTGAAGCCACTTCTTGAAGAAGGAATGATCAGATTCAACCCTATTGGAGCTTGTGTTACCCAAATGCTGCACTTGATTGGTATAAGATTTAGCCCACATGTGCCTAACTGGTAACCACCCAGCTGCCAAATGCCCCCAAAGTCGTCGGTACTGTACTTCCCAACTACGTCTAAAATTGTCAAACGGTGTATCCATGTCTTCCATTGTTAGTGCATATACATCACGGTTCCAAGTCGCCATGATATGATCCACCATCAGTTTGGCTGCATCTATACCACAATGAGTTGTCCTCCGCACCTCCGTTAGACACTTTGCTCTCACATTCCTATCTATATGCCAAAGACATAGTATATGAATTGATGATGGAAACATTACCCCCACGATCTCAACCAATCTTCCTGTCTTGCCACTAACAAACACATCTAGAACAATAGGGCCAAGAAGATGTTGCAAATGCGTCAGAAGCCACTGGTACGACTCCTTCGTCTCGTCGTAGACTATTGCAGATGCAATGACAAAATTCAATCTCATTGGTGTCATGCCGACAATCTCAACTCAAGGCTTATCATACTTATTGGTCTTGTATGTTGCATCTATCACGGCCATATGGTGCCAAGTGGCGGACCCAGGATTTTCGTATAGGTGTGTCAGTCAATAAAATTAAATAAAATAATAAATAAATTTTAATTATATTTTACTGTGAAACACAACAAGAAGTGGGATCGAAAGAGGTAAAGGGAACACTAGGGATTTTATAAGATAGTAGTCCATATGCAACCGGACTCCCGATGAAATAGCATTTTTTGTCACTAGCTGGACAACTATGTGAAAGCTACAAGGATCAATAAGAAACGAAACTTATTCAGGTAGAGAGAAAGAGGAGAAAATTTCCTTACGATTACCCATGTCTAAGACCTAAGAGCAATAAACCATTGCGTCTAAATGCTTAAGCAATAGAAAGAACCCCCAAATTTGTCATAAGTTAACTAAAATCTAAAATAAATAATATATATTTACGTATTTTGGGAACTTTATGACACCAATTTCATCGTATTGTATTAAAGGTGTGTCGATTACAATTATTGAAGGTGTGTCGAAAGTCCTAAATTCCAAAAAATTATACCGACAAAACATGGGTCTCTCACAAAATATTCGGGCGACACACCTCCCTAACACATGCGTCCGCCCCCTGTTTGCCACCCCTAGGATCAACCAATATCCATCACTGGACCGCTCAAGGTTGATCTGAAACTTGCACCCCAATTTTTCAATAGCAGTTAGAGGTAGGGCTGCAAATGAGCCAAGCTGCTCGCGAGCAACTCCGCGTTCGAATCGGAAAAAACTCGTTCGACACTCGACTCGTTGTTTAACAAGCCAGCTCGCGAGCCGGCTCGTTAGTAAACGAGCCAAGCTTTAGCTAGGCCATGCTCGGCTTGATAAGCTCGTGAGCTAGCTTGACTCGGTGGCTTGTTGAGCTAAGCTCGTGAGCTGGCTTGTTTAAAGCTTGTGGAAGGATTAATTACTCTTCTGAACATGAAAATTATCTATTTAATAAGGATGTGTATGGAAGTTGGATGTTATTTTTAGTTTCTAGTGTTCTTTTTATTATTTTTAATTTCTAATGTCCTTATTTGTACACATTTTTCAGCAAGAATGGTTTCAAATCGAGCTTATCTTGAGCCGAGCTTGTACTCAGCATGACAAGCTGTGTTAATGAGCATTTACCGAGCTCTATCGAGCCGAGCTCGAGCTGGATTATTTAGTCGAGTCGAGCTCGAGCTGGATAATCAAAATTCGAGTTCGAGCTAAAAAATTTATAAACGAGTCGAGCTCAAACTAAGCAAAAACTCGACTCGACTCGGCTCGTTTGCAGCCCTAGTTAGAGGTCTCCTCTCCTTAGTCGGATCAGGTTCCTTCGACCTTTTCTTCTTACCATGAGTGCAATGTATGTAATGTCGCCAACTAGCTTCACTTTTTTTTGTTCGTTGCACTCACCAAATAAAACCCCAAGCCCTTGGCAATCTCAGTAGCTGCTTCATATGCTTGCAAATCCGTAGTGTATTTCACGCCATCAATGAAATCCGGGGTGTAATCATGGCCATCCGGATTGTAACTACCAATATCCTGCAATATTATTAGAATTTATAAGTGATACTCCACAAATTTAAAAAGAACTTAACATTCTCTATATCGTCAATTAACGAGTACTCTACGATAAATTTAAAATTTCATAACTACATTTAATTTAATAATCATCATAACTTCACATGCGAAATCTATTATTTATGCAATAAATATAATCTTAATTTTCTAGATTAAGATCAAATCTAACCTAATCTTATTTTAAGGCCAAATCCAATCTTAATTTCTAATGCTAAATCCTTCAATTTTAAAAATAATTATGCAAATGAATCTAAAAATTATATAAACCAAAAGACAACAAATTATCTCAAGGAACAAACCATAAATCATAGAAAAAAAAAAACAAAAAACTCTCAACCGCGGCTCAGTATGCAGTTCGACCATGGACCAACCGCAGGTCACTTGTGGTTGGCACCATGGTTAAACCACAAGTGACCTTCGGTTGGACTATGGTCGAACCGCATCTAAGCCGCGGTTCCCTTTTTTGGTTTTTTTAGTGAATGTTTTTAACTCATCGGAGTCGCTACTCATGATTTAGACGTCCTACCGACGATATCGGCTCCAGAATGACAATGATGGATTTTTCTCTACCTGAATAGTGTTTTTTTAGTCTATGTGATGTTTGTTTGCTAAAGAGTAGATAAAGAAATTAAATGGTTAAAAATGTAACTTTAATATATTTTTTTGGTTAAAAAATTGTAATATTTTTTAGGTCGACTTTTTAGCAATTTTGAAGGCGAAGTTTAGCAACTCCTAATTTTTTCCCCGCAAAATGAAAATACGTGAATAAAGTAATAAATAGCCCTCTTAAGTCTTATCCTCCCCCACCGTTCTCTCTCTGCAAGAAAACGAGACAGAAAAAGACTCTCTCTCTCTCTTTCTATTTTCCATCTAAGTTTCTCTCTCTTCGATCGAGGGAAAACCCTCGCTCGCCGGTAGAAATCGAGAAAAGAGGCTAGAAGAGAACCGCGAAGATGTCGGCGGCGGCGATTAGGAAGATTACTCTGAAGAGCTCCGACGGTGAGACTTTCGAGGTCGACGAGGCGGTGGCGCTGGAGTCTCAGACCATCAAGCACATGATCGAGGACGACTGCGCCGACAACGGAATCCCGCTCCCGAACGTCACCAGCAAGATCCTCTCCAAGGTCATCGAGTACTGCAAGAAGCACGTCGAGGCCGCCGCTTCCAAGACCGAGGAACGCCCTACCTCCGCTGACGATGATCTCAAGACCTGGGACGCCGATTTCGTCAAGGTCGACCAGGCCACTCTCTTCGACCTGATCCTGGTAACCATCTCCTCCTCTTTCTCAGACGCGCTTAGATTGCTTCTCTGGGTTATTACTTCCGGCTCAATTTCTTGATTCATTGGGTTCGATTGATTGGAATTCGATTTCTAGGGTTAGGGTTTGGGGATCTCCAAAATTTGGTGCGATTTTCAATTGCTCGCTTTCGTTTGGGTTGATGTTTTCCTTGTGATGAGTATGTGAAAGATGAATTGCTCGATTGGTGAATTCAATCTAATTGTTTTTTGAATAGTCGGGGTTTGAAAAACAGGGTTGTAGAACTAGCTATTATTAGACTCAAGTGAGTGGTGGTGGTGGTTTGAGCTAATTGGTTTGTGCTCTTGTTGTTGTGTGCAGGCTGCAAACTATCTCAACATCAAGAGTTTGCTGGACCTAACTTGCCAGACTGTGGCAGACATGATCAAGGGCAAAACTCCGGAGGAAATCCGCAAGACCTTCAACATCAAGAACGACTTCACGCCAGAGGAAGAAGAGGAAGTTCGTAGAGAGAACCAATGGGCCTTCGAGTGATGCCTTTCACAGCTCTTTCTCCAGAATGTCTATGTTTTTCAATCTGTGTTTCCAGCTTTCAGTCTCGCTACCCTGGTTTTCTCCATGATCAGACAATCATCCCCTCCAGACATCTCCTAATCTATGTGAACTTGTGATATAACTCTGTCTCTCTGTCTCCCTCTTTGTTTCCCTAATTAGTATGATATGACTATCCGTCTATCTGTTATGGCATTGCTACATATTTAGTTTCCTGTTTGCTAAAGAATATGTCTTTCCTAGCTATCCGCTTATCCTTGCCCTCCATGAACACACAGTCGTCCCCTCCAGACATCTCTTAGTCTATCTGAACTTTGTGATACAATTCTCTCTAACTTTCCTTGCTTGTGCTGGTATGACTATCCATTTATATGTTTACCCTTGCTACATGTTCAGTTTCCTGCTTGCTAAAGAATCTGTATTTCCTAGCTATGGCTTCTAGCTACTCCATGTTGATTGTTCATACAGGAACCAGTTACATCCGAGATTCCCGTTAGTGGTAGTTTCTTTGTGTTCTTGCTTCATGTTCTCTGCCAGGGAACCTGCATGGTAGCTTTTGATGTAAAAGGTCTTGTATTGTATGGGTTAGATACTTGGATCATGTAGTGGTTATTAAGCTGGTTTGGTTTAATCACATTATATAATGGTTTTGGTAAGGTCTTGGTAGTTTCGGCGGGAATGATGATACAAGGTAACACCCGAAGCTGCATTTTCCTAAACCATTGGCAAGCTGCAAAGGATTGACCTTGGTCCTGATATGAGGATTGGCACCTACAAAGCAAACCATCGCAGTAAAAAAGAAAAAAAGGAAGATAAAGGAGAAATATGGGCAACACTCATAGCAAAGTTTGGTTTGGCAGAGAGAAGGGATAAGGAAACCAACAAAAAATAGGTGGTGACCTGGGGATGATAGAGGATTTAGGGGGAGACTTATATAAGGGAATAGGACTCCAAAAGTTTGTCGATAGATTAAGGTTGAGATGAAAAGTACTACAAATCCTCATAAGGGAAGCAATAAGTGGTACATAATAATATGAGATATAGCAACAAAAAGGACAGACAAGTTTATAATACCAATGGAGAAAATCAATGAAAGGCTTGGCAAAGATACATCCTCAATAGGATAACAACTAGAGACAAATTATGACGACAATTAAGGGGGAAAAAAGATACATCTTCAATCAGGACGAAGTGAAATTGCATCTGAAATCCTACTATTTACACCAAACGGATGGTGGGATTGTTGATAAAACGAATGAAGATTCATAGCATTTCATTGGAACATGTGAATGTCAGGAACATGCAAATAAAAAAGAACACTTTAAGTTTAGTCGGGAGATTGTACAATCAGGTACAAAAACCATGCCTACTAGATCACGGGTTGTAAATGTTCATGAGTTTTAGGAGTAACGTTGTAGGGTTTACACGCCTATATAAGGTTTGTTTTATGTGTCAACCAAAGTGATGAATTCCGCCTAAAAAACACTTGAGCAAAAGTTCAGCATGTTTTTTATATGGCCGAAACCCATGGTCGGATAGACTTCGTCTCAGTAGATAATCTACTGTCCCTGCCCATCTCATCTCTACAAGAATATCCTATGCATATGTTGTTGGATATGGAGGTTTCAACATAGGTGGATGTTGCTCCATTAAAATTCATGGTAGAGAGAAATTTATCGAAGTATGAGAGGAAGAGATTGATGAAAAACTTAGATGATACCGGCATCGAACTGATACTTGTATTGATCAAAGTTACGTAACCACAATATTTTTAGGGTTTTCTGAACTTTTCTCAACAACAAGAAAAACTAAAAGGATAAAACTGAATTGATTGTGCAACTTCAACACCCGAAATTGGCAAGAGGCTCAAACAATATGCAGGCAGAAGCTCGACCACAATCAAGGACAATACTTGATTGATACAGAGACAACACTCAAGCAATTGGAATCCACCAACCACGAGCAAATTCTTGATTAATCCACCAACAAACAATATAAAGGTAGAAGTTCGACTACAATCAAGGTCTGACTAAACCTCATGTTTACAACCTTTTTAAATAGGTTTTTAAATAGGTCTAAAAAAACTAATAAAAAATCCGAATATGAAAAATATTCTAAACCCAAAATGTAAGTTTAACTCGTCAGGCCTGGTCATGGGGACAACTACTGCAATTCTTGATTAATCATATTATCGAGCCTTTAGTTTTTCAACTCTGTAGTATTAAGAATGCATGAATGATTTTTTAACATGGTTCTAAATGTGAAGGAAACTATCTATATTTCTTTGTGTAGCCCTCAAGTTATGTTAATCTCTTAATTGTTGTGTGTGTTCTACGATAAGACCAGGCCCTCAAGTTACTTTTAATATGTAATATTTTGCCCTTGATAAAATATAATTAGGTTATTTAATTCATAAATAATTTAATTATATTTATATATCATAGCCTCTATTTTCATTTTGTATAACATTTGTCTCCTAAATTATCAATGAATTTTTTCATGTTAAATATTTTCGTTTGAAATATATACTCTCATAAACAGAACAAATTCATCCTGATTTGCACACCCAAACCAAAATACTCGACTTGTCATCTACAATTTTAAAATATTGATTGTGAGACGAGACAACTGATACATAATATAATAAACTTTAACATAAATAAAATAATTACCGGCCAACGAACCGGGTAAAAAGCTTAGTTGATTCTAAGGAGAATTATTTTTTCCCTCGCGGGGCTAAAACTAGAATTGGTTGGAGGCTAATTTGTCATGTGGACCCACACTGGGTTTCTTTCTCCTCAGTTAGGGGTGGGCAAGTGGTGCGGTCCAACCGCACCGCATCAACACAAACCACACAACACCTCATATGGACCGCACCGCATATTAGACCGCAATTTAAGTGGCGTGGTTAAACCAAACCGCTTAGACAGGCGATTTGGTACGGTTTGGATCGCACCGTATATTTGACCGCAATGTAATATAGACTATGCATAATTGAATTGACAAGTTTGAATTCACGTTCTATATTCATAATACATAATTGTAAGAAAAAAAAACTAATATTATATGTATGAATCAAATTAGTTATTTTTCTAACCACATTAACCAGTCGAAAATATTAAGATCAATCAATTATACAAAAGTACTTAATTGGTATACACCATCACAACCCATTAATTTTTAATGAGTTTCTAGCTCATTCTTGCCGGATATCTATACCGACTAAATTCATGCCATTCATTTTCCTTTTATTTTTTATTTTATTTAATTTCTTGATTATTCAGTAAATTTTAGAATTGGACTTCACATTTTAACATGGGATCCCTCTGCCCAGAAATCTCCAGTTTGTAGCTGTTCGTGTGGTTGGCGTGGTGACCTGAGCGACTTCTAACAGCGCCTTGCGGGTGATCAGAGGCCGAATAAAAATTATTTGCGATTTGCGGTTTTGGATCGCAATCGCACGGTTTCGGATTAATCCGACTGCAAAATTCGAGCCACTAAAAATTCAGATCACATATTAAATCGCAAGTATAATAGTGCAGTTTGATTCGACCGCAAAAGTGGTTCGGTGCGGTTTGACCGCACCAATGCCTACCCCTATCCGCAGTTAATTGTGTGGGCCCAAGGAAAATATCAAACGAATTGTGTGGGCCCAAGCCTGATAGCCCATCCTCATGAGTCATGATTCAATAATGGGCCATGCACGTTGGCCCGCCATTTTGTCACAAGTTCCATGGCCCAGGCACATACTCTTTTCCCCGTAATTCAGACTCTTTTTTCTTTTGTGAAAACAACACAACTTTTTGAGGTGGTCCAAATTGGAATTTTATTTGTTGACTAAATCCAAATTGGACAAAAAATAGTAAAATTCGAATGTGTTGTTTAAGAATAAGACTTCCACTCCTCATTTGTGCTAGTAACTTCGATATTGAATTGAATTTAAATAAGATAATAATGGATGAATATGATGGTTATTCACATATTTTTTTCAATGTATCTAATTTCATGTATATTGGGACCGAGTTACTATATAATTAACAAAAATAAATGAAATATTAAAAATATTTATCTTCCTATGTTACTTGCATATTTAGTTTTATCAAGTACAAACATGTATGTTTGCAAGTGCATACTATACATCCGTATGCGATTGTATATTGGATGCCAAATAATATTTATAGTTGACCAAATATGGATGCTCTTATAAGAAGAAAAAAATGTGATTTTTGATAATAGAGCACTAGAAATAATAGTTAAGAAACTCTAACGTGAAAGTGAAATTCGACAATGACAATAATTACTAAGAAAAGGAACACAGGAGAAATAGTCAATGATTGAAATACGAAAAGGGTACCCCAAATATAGATAAGTTGTTTGTATTACACCATTTCAACGTGTCAAAATATTATATAATTGCAATCAATCAATGGTTATGGTTAAGAGTTCATATATTTAAAATGCTCAAACTGTACTGAAGATGGAGTAGGTGAAGGTTCGATGTATAGTACGGGTATGGTAGATAAATTGCTAAATACCCGATAGAATACTGATAGTCGGTATGACAGAGAAATCGTTAGATATCCGATAGAATACTGTGATACTATCATACCGATTTAATTATTAATATGTGATTTTATTGTTATATGATGCAAATCATACACGTATATGACTTATTGGTTAAGAATTCATGAAACTAATGTATACATGGACTGTAAATGTGTTTTCGTCTACACTTTCAAAATTCAAAATTATACTTGCCCTTGTTCCCGTGTGCGTGTAAATTTTGTATCCTAAATTCCTAATTCTCATTCTCCGGATTTTTGGATATCCGTGATAATTTCCACCTTGCATATGTCACAAATATTCAATTCAAATTAATGCAATCAAGTTGAAAATATGTACAATTTTGGAGCTTGAATACTAAATAGACAACAACAAAATATGAATTTAAGGAGTTCAGGATAGTGTTATTTCTAAATTTCGATGAAAAATTGAGAAAGAAGGAATCATATGACACGTAACAGGATGTAGTTAAATGGTATAAGAATTGCATGCATATATGGATGGAGCAGGAACACCTAATGTCATTCCTACCATTCTCACTACAAGCATTACTCATACCTATACTCTATCCGATGAAGGCAGAAATTCCCTAAACCAAGATCGAATACCCACGATTGTGGATGAGATTGTCGTCCCTATCTCCCATCCTCCTTCAAACGAAGAGATCTCAACATGATTCATTTTATAAGACCTCACATTAACTCGTATCCAAATGCGAAAGGAACTGTGTCAAGGATCACAAAATTTTCAACTACTCACAACTTACTTTTCTTGTTCTTCTGTTTTTTGTTTTTTTAGGACATATGCTAGATAACATACCCTGAAAATTGAAGTCTAAAAAACAACTAAAAGCACATCCCACCTTTACATTTTCACTTATGGCCAGACAAAACCAGGCCCCTACCCAAATTGAAATCGAGGCCTTTTGGAAGCCTTTCACCATCACCATCATTCCCCACAAGGGTTAATCTCATTGGATGCACCCCAGAAAAAATGGCCACAAAAAAAAGAAGAAAATGTTATCTTCTTCCCAACTCTGGTGGGTGGGCCTAGCTGAGGGCTCATGATTGGTCCTTTCTGAAAATGTCCAAACAAAAAGAAGCCAACTTTTTCACCCCTTGGATTGATTCCTCTGTTTCCCATTTCTCCTTCCTTTCATGATATAGATCCTGTGTTTCCCAGAAATGGAAAATCATGTAAATTTTCAGTATGTTTACTTGGTCATGTGAGACTTTTCTAGTTAAGTTCTGGCTCAATATTGTAACACGAACCGAGTGCAAAGTATCATATGAAAATAGTTAGTTCGTAATAAAACTCGCAGAAATTCGAACCAATCACGTTAGAATAACACAACTAACTCCATTCTTGTCGCAATCTATCATAAACTTTCTATCGCACCTTGTACTTCATAAAACTTGCACCACCATCTTGTATTTTTTTTATGAATGATTAAACCTAAACGATTTAGATAGATTAACTGGAGCTATCAAACACTGTAGCGATTGCATATTCTTTATGTGGATGAGAGACAGGAAGAGAATACTGATGATAATTGTGTACAAAATTCCCAGTACACCAAATAGAAGGTTTACTTAAATATATACTCTCTTAAAAAAAAATATATATATAGACCAACCGAACTGCTGAAACAATACAATTTGAGGGACTGAACTGGTAATAAAATTTGATTTAGGTACTGATTGACACATATCCCAAAAATAGTAAGAAGAGAGAGGGAGAGGGGATTTCTTACTTCTTAAAATGGAGCTGTTAAGGTTCTACAAAGAGTGTTCTTTTTAGGCAGCTGGTCGCCCACCCCAGCTAAGTACTGTCACCAAACATGGAGAAAAGAAAATAATTAACAACCATATCCACAGCTTTGTGACATAATTTATTTTTCATTCTTTATTCCAAATGATCGATAGTGGTTAAGCACTATAAACAACAACTTTATATATTCACTAAAATAATTTCAAGATTTAACTCGACAACCGCACAATTATGGAAAACGTTGAAACAGTTCAACAAAATCGTATCACATCTGATAATCTTTGCGCACAAATTCAGATTATCAGCTATTACTAGCAACCAATGAGCTAACGATGATCGTTCCTACGCTAATGCTTCGATGTACAAACAAACCGTCATGATAATGAGTTATTTCTGACTATTAAACAGAAATGTTTAGAATCAAAAGTCAATTAAGCAAATTAATCACCTCTTCTTCCTTCAGTGTGGATCTGAGCTTGGCATTCTCCATCTTCAAGCGACCGACTTCATTCTCCAGTTCCTGAGTGTAAGCCTAAACAAGATCAAACCCATCAAATTAATCCAATAATCCAAATGAAAAAAGCAGAAATCCTAGCTACAAACAAAGGAATGGAATTCATGTGAAGTCCTAAGAGAAACAGAGGAAGTTTCCTGTTTTCTAGCTCTGGACCGATCAGCAGATTCCCTGTTCTTCATCCTCCGCTTCTGCCACTGCTCCCCGCCTTTTCCTCCGCCGCCGACGGCTCTCGATCTCTTCCCGTGGGAAGGGAAAACAAGAGGAGGGTTCAAACTAGTGCCGAAGCTGGGAAGAACAGGGGAAGGCAGAGGATTTGGACAAATGGGCTCTGGCTGCGGCTGGTACCGGTCGCCGGCGGCCGGAAGGATTCCGAAGTGGATGGCGGCGGAATCGGCTGAACATGGCGGCCGGAGGAAACCCAGATTGATACCCTGCCAGAGGTCTTCCATGGATTTCCCGGCGGTGAGAGGTCTCGCCGGCGGAGAAGGGGAGGAGAAAGCAGAGGAAGAAGAGGTTTCCGGCAGCATTTTTTTCTCTCTCTCTCTCTCTCTCTTTTTTTTTCTGAGTAGGAAATGGAAGAGTGAAGTTGAAGACAAATGAGTGATGTGGCTCTCTGGTTTGAACTTGTGATCGATGTTTATGGGGGAAAGAAAAGAGGGGAGTAAATTGTAATAAATAATTAAAAGGGTGCGTAAACAGTAATTTGGTTAGCTCATCTGCCGTAGAATTTGGTTTGAAATTTTAATTGTGGGGTGCAACTTGCAAGTTTATTGGTCGGAATTGCTTTTTTCTTTTCTTTCTTTTTTGGTTCGTTTGGAAAAATGAGACAATAATAGTGGTCAGGACGACGTGGTGCGATATATCAATATCAAGGTACTATGGAATTGGCCCCATTAGCAATTAGTAAAGAAAGATTGCAGAGTGACAATGAGTGATCACTGCCCTTGATTTATATATCTTACTTTTATGGGTTATTTATTTATTTATAAATGAGTTATGATTTGCTGCTCGATATTAGCTTAGGTGTTTATCGTATAATGTTTACTAACACAACCTTCAAAAGAAAGCCACTTATATAGGTTTGAAATTTGCACAGGAACCAGACACCATGTGTTTACCAATGGGGTTACCGAGATTTGAACACAAAGCCTTTTAGTTACAGAAGGCTCAAATACCATATCAATAACTCGTTGATCCCAATAACTCGAGTTGTTGAAAGAGGTTAAATCATAAATCATATATCGTTTACTAACAGTGAGAACTACGTCAATCCAATAACTGCAAAGTGACAACAGTTGATCTAACAAGTAACCATTTCATGGAGTGAAAAAGTATAAAAACGTCTATTTTAAAAGAATTTAAAGTTGAGCATGTGAAGATGTGTTATTAATATATTTATATTTTATATAAAAAATATACTATACACTTTGTATTTTGGACATATGTCCTATATTGAATATTATGATATTTATAAATATCATGGTCGCTAGGTGAAAATAGTTAGTCAAAGTTTGTAAGTATGAATATATAATTATTACAATTTTTTATGCATTCATCTATAAATTATACATGGGCTTTATATTTTTATTCACCTCTTTTATGATTTCACTGTGAAAATTTTTCGCGCATTTTGGGATATTGTTGGTGAGTCAGTGGTAGAAACTGTCTACTCCTTTTTTTGGACAGGGCGAATGTTACGAAGTTTTAACCACACTTGGCTAACGTTTATTCCCAAAGTGGTTAATATGGAGAATATGTGCCAGTTAAGACCTATAAATTTATACCAATTCGTGTACAAAATCATTGCCAAAATATGTCTTAACGATTGGCTCGGTTCTTCCCCGAGATAATCTTGCCGGGGCATAACGTCTTTATTCGTGAAAGACAGATAGTGGATAATGTGCTCATTGGACACGAATTGATGCATCACCTTAAGATTAAGACTAGAGGTAAGAAGGGAAACATGGCTCTGAAGTTTGATAGGGAAAAGGCTTATGATAGAGTCGAATGACCGTTCTTACTTGCGGTTTTAGGAATTTGGGGTTTGATCCGACTTGGGTACAATGGAGTGAGGGGTGCTTGCGTTCCTCTTCATTTTCTATTCTTATGAATGGTACACCAGATGGTTCTTATAACTCGATTCGGGGACTTTGACTGGGCGATCCTTTGTCTCCCCTCCTCTTTGTCATATGCACAGAGGGGTTTGCGGCGCTCCTACGTAAGGCCATCGAGCGGCAAAAGCTAGCAGGCGTTTGGGGTAGTCCCAGAGCCCCGTGTGTTTCATATCTGTTATTTGCCGATGATTCATATTTATTCCTCAGAGGATCGATGCAAGAATGTGAAAATCTGCTGGAGGTCTTGAATGAATATGAGGATCTTAGTGGGGAAAGGGTCAACCTGGCTAAATCCGCAATATGCTTTAGTAAGAATATTCTGCCTCTGGATCAAGAAACCCTTGCTCTCCGGCTTGGCGTAGGAGCGGTAGCAGTGCATGATAAATATTTGGGCTTACCTACCTTGATTGCTGAGTCCAAGATGGCTACTTTCCGTTATATATGGAGGAGTTAGACATTACAGCCCAAAAGTGTCGAATTAAACAAGCTGCATTCCAACTTCTAAGATCCTTGAAACCCAAGCCACCCTCATCCTTAGGCAAAGCAACCAGTTTCCAGGCCAGTTTGGCTCGTTTACCCTCCCTCCTCCTCTACACTCCATAAGTAATTAGAACATAACAACTCAATTCTTTTAATGACTTTAACTGGAAGTTGGATGATATTCATCCAGTACTGAGTAATACAGAAGATCACAGAAGAGATCAATTGCATTCTCCCTGCGTATGAAAGTGACTTAGCCGTCCAGCTCCTTATTCGAGCAAATATTTTCTCAATCAAAGCTTCACCGTCTGTAGATGACAACTTCCCAGCAACAAGAGGGATTCCCAAGTATCGTACTGGAAGCTTACCTATTGTGAACCCCGTAGTTGAAGCTATAGTAGTTTGAATAGAAGAATCAACCATGCAAAGAATATCTCACTCTTGCTTGGATTGCACTTAAGTCCAGAGACCAAGTAAAAGGAATCAAGTATCTTCTTTGTGACCTCTACATGACACTCTTGATGTGTCAATATAGGGTCCGGATCCTGTGACTAGGGGGGTGCTTAGTCACTTGACAAAGCCCCTCCCAGCCCTTAGATCTGGACACACCAATTTGACGGTTAAAAAATGGGAAGGACTATTAAATTAATGACAGGGGTACTTTGGGTGTTATGGAAAACTACGAAGTATACAAACTAGACTTACAAACCATACAAATATACGAACAATACAAACTAGGGCGATAAAACATACAAACAGATTTACAAATAATACGAAACATGCGAACTATACAAACTAGACCGACAAACATTACAAAATGTACAAAATGGAAAAACATACAAACAATACAAACTATAATAATAAACGATACAACCCGTATTGATACAAAATTACAAACCAGACTTAAAAACATTACAAAATGGTCTGACAAACATAACAAAACGACAATTGTCGCCATGAAATCCAATATGATGTCGCCGAAAAATCCCCCGTCGAAACTCTCTCTCTCTCTCTCGCTCACTCTCGCGCGTGCAGAATTGCCATGTCCTAAAAATTCACCATGGCTAAAAAGTTCCATGTCGCCGCCGCCGAGAGAATTCCCAGGAAAGGACCGGCGAGCGGTCGGGGCCAACGTTTCTTTTTTTTTTAATTTGTAAATAAATAAATAAACTTTATAATTACTACATTACCCTTCATTAAATTGGATTGATTAGAGCCCTTAGATTTTAATGAGGTGGAAGAGTTGAGATTCACTTAGACATGTGACTAAGGGACCGCTCCTTTGTCACCTGATCTTAGCCCGTCAATATCATTCGAAATTCTTTTATTTTTCTTTCACAACAAGAAAATACAATAAAATACTCTAAAAGTACACTAAAATAAGACCCAAGAATCTAATATAAGCATAATGGGACCAAAAGGAGGCCATTGAGAAGCTGGCGTGCATTAGGGGTTGTGTTTTACTTTTATGTAATAATCTGGTTTTGATTAACATGGAACTTTGCTCCCCTTACTTATTAACTCTTTACCCTAATTAGTTTTTTTAGTTTAGTCCATATATGGCTGCCGTATTAATTAAATATTATAAGCCTGGGAGATGACAATTCTTGGATTAAGCCAATACCATGTGGCTTTCTTGCCCATTCCAAGGTCCCAAGTGAATAAACAAACAAGAGTTCCATGGCATCTCAAAACTACAGCAACAACGGTTTGACGACACGAACAAAAAAGAACTTGGTAATACAAAGGAAAATGAGTACTACTTATAGTATAGTGCTAGCACGCCAGTATTGTAATCGCAAGATGCTGTTGGTTTTGAGTGTAGCGAGTTCCTCGAACAGAAATTATAATTACAATTGGAATAGCTAGTTTGGCAATCGTTGACATAATTTATAGTATCTGACCTATATAGGTATATTCCGGTGAATTACTCACCTTACAGAAATGTCTATAACCATATCAATGTGTCAATGAGAAGTTGAAACTCTAGCCCGATTTTATGATTTTTCTTGTACTACGGTTAGCATATTAAACTAAATAACTCTGAATGATGCATATAGTTAATTACTCTATAAAATAAATAAAATAAAATAATCAAAATACTCTACTAAATTGATTTTCAGAAATTGTATTCTTTTAACTCACACATGGGTCCAATCATATCGGATTATCGAGAAATTTAAGCAATTAACTCGAACTAAAATTTTCCAAGAACTGGTTACTTATAATTTGCACAAAACTATCTTTGCAAAAATACTAAGTTAAGAATTCTACATCGCTTCTTCAAATTCAATTTTGCAATTCATTACACAACATTCGAACTTTATGTGTTTTTAATTTAAAATGATAAAACAAAATTTGTTTAAATTTAATTAGTAATGATTCTTGTTTTTGTCTAAAGATAACATAGTTCAAATCCTTTGGTTCTCAAAATTTAAAAGGTTAAAAAATTGCTAAAAAATTGCTCTTAACTCTATTATATTATGCCTATGTTTGGCCAGACTTTTAGAAGTGTTTTTCTGCGATGAAAGCTGAAGTTGGGCCAAACATCTCTAAAAGCTCACATTTTGAAAAGATGAAAAGTGCTTTTATAACATAAAAGCAGAAGCTGCGAATTAGAGCTTCTGCAAAAAAACCGTTTTGAAAATACAAAATTATGCTTGTCATATTTTAATTTTTATTGTGGATAATATAATTTTATTTCATATATATCAGTTAAAAAAATAAAATAAATTCGAAAATAATATTATTTAATACAAAAGAAATCTAACAAGATCCATTATGACTACTTTATATTTTTTATAATTTTTGTTAATATTACGTATTATAAATCCTTTTTAGTAATTTTACATGACCTCTTATGTTAAAAAATCTTTTAATAGTTTTTTAGCCAAACACTCAACTATTTTCTTTTTAAATACTTTTCTAAAAGCTGAAACCAAAAATTGCTTCTGCAAAAGTTACCGCAGAGCCAAACTTAGCCTATATATTTGTTGATGATTGTGGGCTCACATATCACATATGACAGGTTAGACTTGGGCTTCATAATTTAGAGGTGAACTTCATGGATCATTAATCGTTGATCCCGTACGCACAAGAAAGATGGATTGGGCGTTTTCTACTATCAAAGATGGGTCGGGCTTGATGGTGCAGAACTCGTGACAATCTATATCAATTTTTTTTTTTTTTATATTTATGAGTGATATCAATAGAGGACAAAAGTTATTCATACAAATCTACCCAGGATCTCTTACAATATATTCTAATGAAGCCACCCCAAAAAATCGAAAGATTCTAGCTCTAGACGAGACAAAAGTAGTGCTTTACGCGCCACTCTATGGGCAGCACTGTTCGCAGTTCTAGGTACCGCCCTAAACTCTATACAAATGGACAATGAGCTAAGGATCTGACGTCACTCTCGTAGCAGCGGACCACCAATCGAGTCTTCTATGAAGCCTTGCCGGATCTGCTTGACGACCACTTCGAAATCACCTTCGACTATCACGTGAGTCAAAGATCTTCAGGTGATGATGGAAATAGCATCTCTAATGGCCAGGAGCTCTGCTAGGGAAGGGTTGATTATTCCATGATGCTGTAACCCGAACGCTAACCCCACATGTCAGCCTGACCCAAGGACAACAAGCCCAGACGAACACCCGGTGGCACAAATAACAGCGTCGAAATTGATCTTCAAGTAATCGTCTGGCGGCGGGACCCATGTGGTGGTTGGATGGTTTGGGAAGAGAGTTGAGGGGTTGGGGAGGGAGGAGAATGTTTGAGATATCAAGGATCTGGTTGTAGAAATGTCTGGCTAGGGAACGGACATGAGGTTGGTAGAATTCAAAAATCACTTTATTTCTAGACTTCAGATTCTCCAAAGTAGCATACGCATTGGAGAATGTGGAATGAGGAGGTCTAAGAGACCATGACATGTCGCCACCATAGACTAAAGTTAACAGTCGGGGCAGTCTCAATAAAGTTGCTCAATCTCACTAAAGTCCACAATCTGGTGGCTAGGGGGCATCTGAAGAATGAATATCCAATGCTTTCTCGACTATCCGTTTTCGATTTGAGGCCAAAGCTGATTCATGAGCCAGTTGATAGCCCTATTTGACTATTTCTAAAGAAATAAGAAACCATAGTTGATGCACTGAGGAAGACTTCATCGTTTGAAATCGTAGAACATGTGATTAATACCAGTGTAATGACATGAATTCTTGGCAATAAAATTGGGACTAAACAATAAATAGGCCAATTAATCGTTACCTACACATATAGAAAAAATTTAATGCAAAATAAATTTGGGACTGAAAATTTTTAATTACTCGACACCGGCTTGTAACTGTTCCGTCAATTAATTGCCAATACTCTCCGACGGTGGAGGTTTTCCGGCGAGTTCGCCGTTTGTGGTACCACACCGTAGACTGTTTCCAGCCATGGTCGGATTCGAGAGGAGGGTCGCTTATGTTAATCAAAAGAATTAAACGAGTCTTACACTCCCATCCGCGGGAGGTTTCCGACAATAGTACCGTTTTCAGCCAAATCCAGGCCGTTCAATGGTGGTTAAGAGCCACCGTTAGCTTGCTAAGCTTCCGCCCACTTAAAACTAAAATATATGTTAGAACAAAAATAATAATCACATTAAAGATGACATTTACTATTAAAACATAAACGCAAACCAAAATAACTGCATTAAGAAACTTATTAAATATGGAATTTTCTTTGAATTGCTCATAATAATTAGAGTAGTTAACGACTCATATGCACATAATGAGTGCCTTAAGCCCTTAACCATGCCTCTATCCGTTACGCTCCGGTCCAAAATGGACATGAAAGGGCAATAATTACATTTTTACTTCTACACGTACGGAGGAGAGGTAACTACAGGACTTGCCGGAGAAACCAATTCGCCGGAAAACCCTTGGACGTCTGACGATGGATTAATGACCTTCCATACATACTTCCAACTGCCCTAGAAACCGATTTCAAGAGACTCTCTGACCTGTAAAATTTTAGACGGATGGTATATCCAGTGGAGCAACAAAAATTACCACGATTTTGTGAATGAAAATATGATCAAATCATCAAACAAACCCTCACTGGTGATGTTCATTCATGCCCATATTAGGGACGTTAGAGGGGAACAAGAGAAAAAAAACTACAGAAGAAAGGAACTCGACAGTAGAGCATTTCTCAAACCATCAATCCAACCTAGTGGAAATTAAGAGAGAAGTAGTAGGGCGATGATGGAATTCGCCGGCGGGAAGACAAAATGAAAGTCGTTGCCTCATGCCTGCTACAGATCAGCCGGGGTGACGCGCACCATGGCCGAGATATTTGAAAGAATGCCTAACCAGAGTTAATAGGGGGAAAGACGAATGAAGTTAGTTAACGGGGTCAAAACTTTAACAAAAAAATTTCAGTATGTTAACTTTCCCTGAACTTGTAGAGAGTCATTTGCTTTGTTGTCGTCTACAAGGAAGCTCCCTTGGATTGCTAAGGATGTTCTTAGTAGTGTGGCCTATACCCACTTACTTTGTATGTAGGGCTGCAAATGAGCCAAGCAACTTGCGAGCAACTCGAGGTTCGAATCTGGAAAAACTCGTTCGAAACTCGATTCGTTTACTGACGAGCCAAGCTGGAGATTAACTTTGTTCAGCTCGCGAGCTAGCTCGGCTCGGTGGCTTGTTGAGCTCATGAGATATCTCAACATTGCCGTTTGGGGGCCAACTTGATCACCGACTTATGGACTAGTCGATCTAATTTGGACTTTCATAATTCATAGGATTGTTAAATTATATATCTCACACCATGTGAAGTTTAACATGTTGAACATGTAAGAAAACATGCCTTATTTTTAATTCTATAAATAAATTATGTACAAAATTGTTTCGATACTATGAAATAACATGATTTGAACTAGTTGAATTTTTTTTGGAGGGAAAACTGTATTTGTTAATTAATGTTGAACATTTGATTATTTTTTTTATTGTTACGTCAATCACATGTACCATACATGACATACAAAATGAATGTATCAAATACGATATAAGAATTTAGTAAACAAGCCTAGCTCAAACTCGACTCGACTCGGCTCGTTAATAAATGGCTCGGGCTCGAGCTAAGCTCATTTGTTAACGAGTCAAGCTCAAACTGGAATAAAACTCAACTCAGCTTGGCTCATTTGTAGCCCTATTTGTATGGGCCCGATTTCCACCGTTTTTAGTAGGACCAAGTATGATGGCTGAAACCCAAAATAGAATGGCTTTCTTCGGTCAGCTTGTCAAAGATGGTCGGGCTGGAAGGCGCTGAACCGAATAATATCGTTTACGTTATTTTTTTAAGTAAGGACACATTAATCACGCAAAAATTCACTATTAACAAATGATCAAGAGATTTGGATGGCTAAACTACAAATTATTTTATAAAACGAATTTGAAAATTTGAGATTGAAAGCTCCATTATACATTGATTGAGTCACATTAATTCAAACATATATAATTTTTTTTGATCGAATCTTTATAAAACTTTATTGATCAGATGTCACGGCTACATTATCCAATATAAGCTGATCAACAAGGATCATAGGGGGTCTATCTAACCAAACCTCCCTCTCATTCCATCTGGTCTCAGTATGGGCCATGATGTGTGCTGCCATATTTCCTTCTCTTGGAACGTACTGCCATGTTCCATTCCCTGTCTCCCTGAGTAGCCTTCGGATATTACGGCAAACAACCCCGATCTCAGTATGGATATCGTCCGCAATCGCTAGCTTGTGGGTGAGCGTGAGGCAGTCTGTCTCCAGAACCAGATTCGTCAAGTAAGACGGGTGGGCTAATTGCAAACCGAGCTCAGCAGCTAAAGCTTCCGCCATCTCAGGTTCCCAGCTGCCCGGGATCTTCTTTGCAGCCGCCAGGAGGAACTTCCCTTCATCATCACGAATGACAACTCCCAAACCTGTGCCCCCTGCAGCTAGGACGCCTGCATCAGTGTTGACTTTCTGTTGTCCCTGCTGCGGTTTTTGCCATAGCTTCACACCAAGGTTGTCAACCCGCGGGTTGACCCGGACCCGGTTGAACTAGTGGGTCAAGGGTTAATGGGTCACCCGTTTTAGCCCGGAAATATGGAAAGCGTCATTATATTGTACTTATCCTGATAAATTATATCCAATCTCATATAACATATGAGTTATAACATATAATATTACACCAAAATAACATTTTGTACTTAGATTCAACGTATAGTAAAAATTCACACACACTTATATAACATTAATATTCAAATGTTTAACTTAGGATTCCAACGATTGAGTTAGACGAAAAGAAAAATCGAAAAATAGGCGCATTTCGCAAAACAAAGAAAAAAATGACACAATTTGACCTCCAACCCGGTACCTTGTAGCGGTCGACCCGGCGGGTGCGTGCAGCCCGTTTTTCTCACCGGGTCAGGGTTAAAGTGGGTTAACCTCCGGGTCGACCCGTGGGTTGACAACCTTGCTTCACACTATTATTCCCCTCCTTGTCCTCATTACTTTCCTGGTGATTCTGTAGTCAGCCAGCCACATTTTAGCTCTAGGAACAATCTCATGCTCAGGTAATTTGTTCCCGTTGAAGAGATGGGCATTACGTTCCTTCCACAAGAACCAAAGAAGTACAGCCCAGTTTTCTAACTCTTCATCAGTCTTTGAGTCCATAACTGTCTTCAGCCAGGCATAGCAGCATCGAGAAGAGCGACACAAGAAGCAATCCACTAGTTCCGAGGCACGCCAGAGTCTAGATGACCATTCGCATTCCGCGAATCTAAGGATTTGGGTCTCCCTTATATCGCAAAACGGACATTTGTCCCCCCATCGCTTACTCTTTGCACTAATATGCTCACCCGTTGGCAAAATGTCTCGTGCAAAACGCCAGAGAAAGTGTTTTACCTTTGGTGGGACCTTCATGTTCCAAACCCGCTTCCAGACTCGGGTTTCACCAACTGGCACTAGCTGCTCCCGAGACTTGAAGTTGGCTAGCCAAGCTTTATAACCCTCATGCACTGAAAATCCCCCATATGCACTTCCATCCCAAATGAGTTTGTCCTGTTCCCTCAAGTCACGAAGGGGAATACTGCGTATCAAATTGGAAATTTCCGAGGGAAAGCAAGCCTCGAGTAGAACCTCGTCCCATTGATCCGTTTCCGGGGAAATGAGTTCCCTTACTGAAGCATCCACTGATAATCCCACCGGAGCTGCGTCAACGTAGGTAGAGGGGGTTGTCGGCAGCCATTTATCACCCCAAACTCTAATCATAGCTCCATTGCCCACCCTCCATCTCAGCCCGTTATTCAGGAACTCCTGTGCACTCATCAAACTGCGCCAAATAAAGCTCGGTGGATATCCTGGAGACGCGTCTAATATCAAGCAGTTTTTGTGGTACTTTGCTTTCAGGATGAGTCCGATCAAAGAGTCTGGGCGTTGGTAGATCCTCCATAGTTGCTTGGCAAGTAAAGCCGTGTTGAATCCATGCAGATCACGAAACCCCAACCCTCCATCCTCCTTTGCGCAAACTAATTCCTCTCGTTTGATCCAGTGAACCCGGCGTTCTATTCCTTTTTGCCCCCAATAGAAATTTACTATGAGGCTTTCTACTTCATCAAGGACAGTTTGGGGAACACGGAACATAGACATAGCATATATAAATTGAGCTTGCGCCACCGACTTGATAAGCACTTCCCTGCCTGCAACTGACAGGACTCGCTCTTTCCAAGTTTTCAATTTTTTCCTTACTTTGTCAGTAAGGCTCTGGAAGATCTCTTTCTTTGAACGACCAACTACCGTAGGAGGGCCCAGATATTTTTCATGTTTGTCAACAGCATCCATCCCCAGAGTTCCACTGACCATCAAACGACCATGCGTTTTTACATTATCGCTAAATGAAACAGCTGATTTTTGGAAATTAACCTGCTATCCCGACTCCCTTTCATAAGCTCGTAAGATTTCCTTCAAAGTGCAGGCTTCTCGCTCTGTGGCTTTACCGAAAAAAATACTATCATCAGCGAAGAAAAGGTGTGACACGCAAGGAGCCCCTCTTGCCGCCGTTATGCCGTGAAGCTTCCTCTCCTGGACCATCTTCTTTGTATAAGCAGACAGCCCTTCTGCACACAACAGGAAAAGGTATGGAGAGATCGATCACCCTGCCTCAAACCTCTCCCCGGGGAAAAACTCTGCGATTGATGGCCGTTTACTATTACCGAGTACGACACTGTATGAACACACATCATTATCCACCCGATCCATCTTTCTGTAAAGCCCATCCTCTGCATGATCTTCTCCAAAAACCACCACTCTACTCAGTCATATGCTTTTGCCATATCAATTTTCGCCGCAAAGAAACCGTTGTCTCTACTGCTTTTCTGCTTTTTCATCGAATGAAAGCATTCAAAAGCCGCCATGATGTTGTCTGAAATGAAGCGCCCGGGGACAAAAGCACTTTGTTCCTGGGATATGACCTTGTCCAAAAGCCCTTTCATTCGGTTTGCTAGCACCTTTGCAACTAACTTATACAGAACATTGCATAAGCTGATTGGGCGGAACTCCTGTGGTGTAGTTGGCTTCTTCGTCTTTGGGATAAGCGCTATCAGGGTGTGATTTAGGTTCTCCGGCATGATTCCCGTATCAAGAATCCTTATCACAGTGTCCACCACATCATCCCCGACTATCCTCCAATACCTGCGAAAAAACAAAACAGTCATTCCGTCAGCGCCTGGGGCCTTGCGCTTGCCCATTTGCTTCAAAGCTCTCACTACTTCTTCTCTCTCCCAAGGCCGAGTCAGCTCGGCATTCTGTTGTTCAGTGATCGTCCTCTCAACAGCATTTAGAACTGGGGTATGGAGTGGGACGTCCCCTGCATGGAAGAGAGACAGAAAATGGGAAACCATGCACTGTTGAATTTGGTCTGTACCCACTTGCCAGCTGCCTCCTTCATCTTTCAGTTTCTTAATCATGTTGCGCTTCCTCCGGGTTGTAGCTTTCCTGTGGAAAAAGTTCATATTTTGGTCTCCCAATCCCAGCCAGTAAGCCCGTGATCTTTGTTGCCAATAGAGCTCTTCGTTGTCTTCCAACTCGAGTAGTTCAGCCTCTAATTGTTTGATCTGCCCAACCACCTGCGGCGTCTTTGTTATTCTGTCCAAAGAGCGCAACGCCTTCCTTATTCTTTCCTTTTGCCTTCCAAAATGGGGAAAAGTGGCTCTACTCCATCTGTCAAGTTCACTCCTGCAAAACTCAAGTTTGGTTAGTGCATCACCTTGGTTTCCCCGGTTCCATGCGTCCTGGATCACCTCTAGACATTGTGCATGCTTTGTCCAGTGGTTTTCGAACCTGAACATCCACCCCCACTTGGGGTCTCCGTCATCTTCCCCTTCCGTATCACAAATGATCGGTCGGTGGTACGACTTGAATTTATCAAGATGTCGTACCTTAACCTTCGGGAATAGATCCCTCCACTCCATAGTCGCCAAAAACCTGTCAAGCCTTTCCTCAATAAATCCTCATGTAGTTCTATTGTTTACCCAGGTGAACTTATGTCCATGGAAGCCTATGTCTTGAAGGTTTGTTGCCAGTAAGCAGTCTTTGAAGGCCGCCATATCGACGACGTTTGCCGGCCGACCTCCCTCCTTTTCATCGTTGTTAAGAATCTCGTTGAAATCTCCGCCACATAACCAGGCTCCCTCCCATTGTTGTGCGAGGTTCATCATTAATTCCCAAGATTTGTATTTATCTCCGTCCTCTGGCCAACCATAAATTCCAGTAAAGCGCCAAGATGAAGAGTTTTGATCCGTAACCTTTGCATCAATATGATGGAGTGACTTGGTCATAACCTCAACAAGGCTTCTTCCCGCCACCATAGGCTAATTCCCCCTGCTCTTCCTCCACCTGACCTGTCAGTGGACTCACTCTTCCCATTTTCATATCCCATCTCAATACGAATTACAGCATTTTCATCCTCGGTTTGCTTTGTTTCCATTAAAAAGACCAAATCTGGGGAGAAGAGTCGCAAAAGCGAATCCAATGACTTAACTCCTCGCTTACTCCCCAGTCTGCGGCAGTTATAGCTCAAAATTCTCATTTATGTCCCAAAGGGGATAGGCTCCCCGCGCCATTACGCTGCGTCACATTATTACGACCACTATTTCCCTCTTTGAGCTTTTCTCGACTATTATCCTTCCCCTGCTTGCTTCCATTATTATTATTTCCCTGCTTGCTTTGGGGCACTTTTCCACTTCGTTGTGGAGCTATATCATTGCCCTCTCCAGGACCCGAATTCTTTGTTTTCTTTTGAGTTTCGGTTGCATGATCCCTTGGGCTTGGAGTATCACTATTATTTGCTGCCGCTGGGGACATGTTCCTTTTATCTTCAGCAATCACCTGTTTCTTTTGCGAGTGTTCCCGCTTACTTGTCCCTGTTGCTTCTCCCTGCTGTGCTACTTTCCCAGGTCGGTGGTCACTCTTATGATTTGCACTTTGTGGCTGGGTTGGGGGGTTGCTCCCTTCTAAGTTATCATTTTGTGTTTCCTCTACCAGCACCTCAAATCGATTTTGAGTTGTTTCCGCCCGTTCTTCTTTTTTCTTATTTCCTGTTGGCGCCCCATAGTTATTGCTTCGCTTATTTGGCCGGCGTTCTCTTCGTTTTACCATCATCCAGTCTCTGTATATTGGGTTCTTTCCTTGGTCAACGGCTTGAGTCTCTGGGACTATCTCAACTAAATCCGTAACAATATCTTCGGTAGCCTTGCACAGGCATCGCGCTGTAGGCTGTCCATATTTTCCGCAGTCTGTACAGATATTCTCGGAAACACCAAATGCCACCGCCGGTGTCGAATTCGGTTCCGGCGATG